ACAAAACCCCCCAATCTAATTGATCAAATGCTTTTTCAGCATCCAAAAATATAAAAGCAGCAGGAATTTGATTATTCTTATCCAAATATTCAATTAAATTAATAATTTGTCTTACGTTATTTTTCATATATCTTCCAGTTATAAATCCAGATTGGTCGCTATGACTCAATTGGCTCAACACTTGCATTAATCTGTTTGCCAATACTTTTGAAAAAATCTTATAATCTGTATTCAATAAAGATATAGGTCTATAATTCTTAGGTTGAGTCAAATCCTGACCCTCCTTTGGGATTAACGATATAAAAGCAGTTCTCCAAGACGGAGGTACTTCTTCACCTAACAAAACACTATTAAACAATTCCTTTAACGGTTCTATCATTTCTTCAGATAACATCTTGTAATAAATTGCTGTTAATCCATCTGTACCAGGAGCCTTACCAACTTTTAATTGCTTAATTGTCCCCTTAATCTCCTCAGAAGTTATTAAACAATTCATCTTTTCCCTTTGATTACTTGACAATCTAGGAAAATGTGCCTGCTGTAAATAATTATCTATTTCTTCAATTTGTATATTTTCAAAAGCATATAACTTAGAATAAAAATCCAAAAAGCTCTTTTTAATTAAATTTTGTTGAGATGTCACTTTACCATTATAATCTATTTTCTCTATAATTCTTGACTTCTGCTTCTTTCGTAGTTGGTAGGCCAACCATCTTCCAGGTTTATTTGCATTACAAAATGTATTATATTTCATGTACCTTAAACTAGTTGCAGTCTGATCTGCTATTAACATATTAAATTGCTCCCTAAGTACAGATACTTTTAAATTATTATCCAGTGGATTTGAAATAAAAGCCTTTTCTTTTAATTTAATCTCATCCTCTAACTCTTTTCGTTTTTGCATCTGTTTACGCCTATAAACATTGTTCATATAAATCAAAATGCCTCTCATATATGCTTTACTAGCGTCCCAAACCATTGAAATCGAAGTATCTTTATGCATGTTCAACAAAAAAAATTATTTCAATTGGTCTCTACATTTCTGCAAGTTTGTATCATATCTAAATAAGTTTTCATTCAGTCTCCAAGTTCTTCTATTCCCCTCTTCAGCAAATAATTCCATCCATACAGGACTATGATCTGACAATGTCCTAGGAAAAATCCTAATATTCTTCACCCTAGAAAAGAAATCATTAGTAATTAAAAAAATCAATTCTAGAATAAGATTGATGCCTATCCTAAAAAAAAGTGAAATCTCTTTCTTCCATATTTCGTTCTCGCCAAATGTCTTTTAATTCCAATTCATCCTTAAAATCAAAAAAGGTTTTAGGCAGTATAGAACTAAAAGCTTTACAGGAACCTTTCTTGTCTCTTCGTGAATCTAAAACTCCATTCCAGTCTCCCATCATAATAACTGATTTGTAATCCAGTTGATTTAATTTCCGATGTACCAATTTATAAAACTGTTTCTGTTGTTGATTTGGAGCATATAATCCAATAATAAGACATTTCTTTCCATTCAATAATATTTCAATAAAAACGTATCTTCCTTCTGGATCAAAATCAATTAATTTGGGCAAAAACTCTTTCCTCACATAGATAACTACCCCGCCTCTTTTCTGCGGCGCAGGTGCCATAAAATGTATTCCCAACCGTGAATTAATCAAATATTTTTGATCCTTTGCTGTAATGTGAGTTGCTTGTAATGTGAGTTGCTTGTAATGTGAGTTTCTTGTCATTTTTATGTTGTTTCAAATAATGAAATATCTTTTTTCTTTTCTGTGGAGAATTCAAGCCATTAACATTCCATGTCAGAAACCTTGCCATCTTTAATGGCAGAGAGCCTCTGGAACGCTCCTTGTAAATCAGCTGTTACTGATCTCTTTGGCCTCGCACCTCCCACTGGCTCTGAAATAACTTGCTGTGCTGTAGGTACAACTTCCACTTTTTGCTGCTCTCTTTCTTTGCATCTATGAGCTGCACAGGTCATTCTTTGTAACTTCGGATCATCTTTAATTTCCATAAATTGCTGCTTAGCTTGGTCTTGTAGTTTTGTAGCACTTGATGACATAGCTCCCTCAGCCACTTGCTCTTCAAGAATTCCTTCCTTTCTGGTACCTCATGGAGATGATGATGAACCCACTTTCAAAATTGAGATATAAAAGTCTCTTGCTTTCGAAATCGAGTTGAGTCTGTAGTGTGTTCCCATGTAATTCACAATTATACCAACAGGTATATCCCATCTAAATTGAATTTGTCGCTTTTTCAATTCTTCAACCAGAAAGGCGAAATCCTTCCTTCTTCTAAGTATTTTGGATGGTATCTCCTTTAAAATTATAACATCTTATGCCATAATTTGAAATCTCTGCTTATAAAAGGCTTGAATAATTTCATTATGGATTGATCTTCTAGAAAAATAGATTACAACATCTCTTGGAAGATTTCTCTGTCTTGCAACCCATGAATTAACTCTGAAATTTTTTTCCATTTCTCTCATAATTTCTTCAGGTTGACAGGACAAAACCAAAGCCAAATCTGCTGCAATCTCTTCCTCCAAATTTTCTTGAGCATTTTCCTTCAATCCCCTTATTCTCAAAGCATATTCTATTTCTCTATATTGTGACATAATAACCTCATTTTGAGTTAAATCCACGTTCTCCTCCACTTTTCCCAATCTGAATTCCAGACTTTCAACATGTTCCTCCACTTCATCCACCCATTCATCTATACGTTCTACATGGACTGCCAAGCCTTGAAGCGCAAACAGTATGTCTTCTCTCATCTCTGCATTTTTCTTTTCCAAAAGCTCCTCTGTCTCTGTTCTAATCTGTCTTGCATTGTCCTTCAAAGCATCCTGTAATTCTTTCAGTGTAAATACTGGAATTGGGGGAGAAGGCGGAGGAGTCTTAGCTTTGGGCTGCTGTGATGTTTGAACAGCTGGGGATGAGATCGTGCCTTTCTGAGGAACGGAAGTTCCTGCACATTTTGAAGCCATTTTTCTCTTTCTTCTATCTTATATTTTTATTTTTATTTTTCCTCTTTAAAGTATTATAAAGTCTTGTAAAAACAACAAATACTAAGTATATAAAAGGAGGCAGAAAGCTTGCCCACCCAATAAGCAACAAGGAAGCTAAATCCGTTACAATATTTCTTCTGTATCCAAAAAAGTAAAAGTCTCTTATATCTTCTGTCAAAAAAGAAAATGCCCTTCCACAGCCATATTCCTTCTTCTTCTAGTTTAAACAAAAAGTGAAGAAGATACTTATTTGTTTCCTGAGTTAAAGTCACAATTTATTCAAAGTCCAATCCTCCTGGTTAGCTCTGTCTGCTTATAGGTTCTACTCACAGTCTCTTTAAATGGCAGAGGTGGAATCAGCATCTGGCTTCATTCGGAGAACAAAGGCAGCCCGAGGAGCGGAGAAAGTCCCAGACTCCGGGGGAGTTCACACCTTAGTCCTCATAAAAGAAAAATTATGAGGGCTAGGGAACTCTACCCCTATCTGGGAAGCTCACCCCCCCTTTGCCCGAGGAGGGGGATTCCGAGCCGCGGAACAGCTGTTGCGCGCTGTTCCTATGGCTTTGACACATCCTCGGGGCAGATGGCTCAAGGAAAAGCCGCCATCGGTGCCACGATCGCCACCAGAAGTCCAAGCACAAAATTTAAGAGAAAATTTTTATAAGATGTTTTATAGATGGCATTTGGATCCTCAAAAACTGTCACGCATGTATCCTAACTTACAGCCCAAATGTTGGAGATGTGGAAGTTTAGATGCAACCTACTTCCATATTTGGTAGACGTGTAGGGCTATAAAGGCATTTTGGATCAAGATTTGGTGGAATATTCAAAATATTTTTAAGAAGAAGATAAAGTTTACACCACAGTTATTTTTGTTAGGTATTATGGGAAATTTGGATGCCAAAGAAATGAATCTGATGTTGAATCTTATAACAGCTGCAAGATTATTGGTAGCTCAATATTGGAAGACGGATGGTTTGCCCACTGTAGAAGAATGGTCGATTAAAGTGTCAAATTTAGCGGAAATGGCTAAGATTTCTGCTTATTTGAAGGATCAGTCATATGAAAGTTATATTTCGGTATGGAGAAGATGGATAGATTATATTCAAAAAAAATATGGGACTGTAAAGTTCCATTTGGCTTTTGGGTAAAATTTTAAAATATTCTTATTGTTATTATTTTATTAAGTGCTTGTATAATAGCTTCTATGATCTTATTATAATTTTGACTAGTAGTGTTGTTTACTAGTTTGTTTGTTTTTTCTTCTTTTAATAATGTATTTAATGTTAATTTTAACTTATTTAAGTTTATTTTAAAAATGAGTTAAAGTGTGTTATAGATTTGGTTATATAATTAGCTGGTTTATGTTATTTAGATTATGATTATTATTTGTAACCCTGTGAACAGCTCTGGGAAGTGGGGGGGGAGAGGCATTGTAGGGGTGGGGGGGATTTATATTGTAAACTTTATAAAACTTTGTCCAATCAGTTGGGAGAAAAAACCGAAAACCCTTGCATTTTGTCCAAGTGGAACTGTGGTAATTTTTAACAAATTCTCCAGAATGCACTAATCTTAGACCACAGGACTTATCAGAGTACAAAACTGACTCTGATAAGTCAAAGTAATAATGCTATTCCCTCATCTTTTCTTGCATAAGGGGCACAAACAGGGCAGTTGTTAATTTTTTTCTTGTGATATCAAGAATCTACAGAGATGAAAGTTTTTAATCTCATATTCTAAAATTCAATAGCAGAAGTAAAGAACAGTTTGTTTTCTTTGCATAATTCAATTTTAAAAAAACATTGCACAGCCACAAGGAAATGGAAGCAAGGTTTGAAATTAAACAATTAGTTTTTACAATATTTCTTTTCATTAATAAGCAAAACAATAACTATAACGTGATTGATTCAAGATAAAGTATATTTTTATATTGAACATTATTTCATCAAGCAAAAATTTAAATAGATAAATATTTTGTTTTTAGGTAACAGGAAAAACATACTTCGATTTTGCAAAGCCTGCAAAATATATCTTGAGAATTCGCACTATTGGACACACCATGTGTACAATTTCAAAAGAAATGAATGGAGAATGGAGCAAACCTATTGAGTTTGGTAATTTATTTTTTCCTTAATTATTTCTCCTGCTTGATGCTAACATTCCTTCTAATAGTCAGCTGGTGGTTAAGAGCTTCCTACCATCAAAATGATCATTGAAAAATAAGATAATCTTAATATATTTAGTTAATTCTCCAAAATACTTTGGTAACAAGGTTTTAAAAAATTCTGGGACCTAACTCAAAGTTTTTAGAGTCTCAGACTGTGAATTCTACTTTTAATGCAAGCAATCTTAGAGTAGATATAATAAATTTAAATTCTCCAAACATAAAAAATCCTATTTCTGCTACTATATTGAAGAATTGTAATAAATAAGTTATTACAGTTTAAATATGTTTATGTGAATAAAATTCCAATTTAAAGTCAAAAAATTAAAACATGATAACAGCCTATTCCACTACCATGGGTCATTTGGCAACAATTATTATTGTGTTTCACTAAGATGTTAAAATACACAAGATATTAATGGAATGTGAAAATTAATACTTGATTTGGGAGACTCAAAAAACTATATAACTAAAATGTATAATAGCTTATTAAATTTAGATTTAGATTATTATATCTTAACTAGGTTACAGAATGTGATTGTAGGAGAAGAGAAGGCACAGCTGGAAGGCAGAGTAAACACGTCATAGTATGTAGTCCTTGCGTTGCCACAAAAGATCCAAGTCCAGTCCTCCATGAATTCCATTGACCCTTATCTAGTGCCAACTTAACACTGAACGTTAGTTGACAAAGACTAGTGCTATGAACTTAACAAACACTCCTGGTTATTTGCTCCTGACACTGATATTTGAATAGAATTGGCAACAAATAAATCCATACTGGCATAAACCATTGGGACTAATTTGAAATTAATTCATAACAGATATTTCATAGATGCTCATTCATAGTAAAACTGGCACATCTGACAAATATTTTTCACCAAAACGTTGGAGCAAGAATAGGTGAATAGTACCTATAGAATCTGTGGTGGCAAGATAATTGTAAAGCAATATATTTGTAAGAACCAGTGCTATCACAAAACCAAACATTGTTATATATGCACAATTAGCATGGTTAAATCTATTTCTTGAATATACCACTGAAACACGTTGGAACCATGATTACACTCTTATTATCAGCATGTATAGAGACCCAGTTTGGTACACTGGTTAAGGCACCAGGCTTGAAACTAAGAGATTGTAAGTTTTTTCTCACTTTAGGCACAAAGCCAGCAAGGCAACAGCAAATCACTTCCAAAATCTCGTCAAGAAAACTGCAGGGACATGTTCAGGCAGTTGCCTGGAGTTGAGATTGACTCAAAGGCATCAAATATATACTGTATAGATATAGTATATAGTTAAAATAGTGATCGGTAAATTCTGGTAAAGATTAGTAGTGTTATCATTTGAAATATGGTATAATAAAATCTGGACCCCTAACTCCTTTTGAAAAAATTAAAATTAACTTTAAAAATGAAAAAAAAAATCTAATGACCAGTGTAATATGGGCTTGAATGTGCACATACACACAGAGACAAAATAACAGAAAAATATGAAAACCATGACATTCCATTTGTTTCTGGCATCTTTAGTTTGTGATGTAATATTCTTTTGTTCATTGATATGATAATCACTTCTAATGCCAAAGAGATATTTGCTGTATCTCATCATAATAAACAATAATAAAATAATTTTATTTTTAAATACTAATTATCTCAATAAAATCAAATTACTCTTCCTCCCTTCATGAATATTCCCAATTCCTTATCAACTTTATTCTGAAGATAATGGATGTGAAAGTCAAAGATTCATTTTTAAAAATACTTTTTACATTCTTTGATGGTAGCAGAACAACAAGATTGGTTTTGCCGTTTTCATAGATCCAAAATGACATCCACATTGAAAGTCACCAGCTAGCCAGAGATGGGGAACTATGGCCCTTTTATGACTTGTGGACTTCAACTCCCAGAATGATTAAATAAGAAAGCTCTAAATTCAAAATTCTCCTTTTGGATTATTAGTTTTTCTCTCAAGTTTTAATGATGCTTTGAGTTTGAGACAAGGTGATTGGATTGCTAAAAATGGAGCGAGAAAAACCAATCTAGATTCTATTACTGCTAATGCCAGTTTCAAAACAAAGTTTAAAGCATTCCCTTCTCCAAAATCTGCTGCCACCCCCAAGTTCACAGCAGATTTGAAGAGCTAAATTTATTTTCTCCACTGAAAGATCATTTTAATGAGAAATTTCCTATAAAATACCTGATACAGGTTGGCTGAAAACATGAAAATGAATACATTTGTAATTCTGTTTAGTGTTCACTTGCCTTTCTTAGATGAGCACCTAATTTTGCTCTCCTAAAAAAAAGTAGCGGCCAATATGTACATGATTTCCTAAAAAGAAATGTACAAATCCGTATTTGTTCAATTTGTTTTATTTTCCTGCTAATACTATATTTATATATAGCTATATTAAAAATTATTTCATTAACTATCCATATTAAAATAATGGTACATTTAGGGTCAAAAGAATCTGTTGGCTTTTTCTTTTTTTCCCCACCAAAAGAAAGGGCTGCTTCTTCATTGTAATTTTGTGTGTCTGAATATCTCTTTATATAAATCAGTATAAGAATACTAAACCCTGCTATTGTTTCAGGTACTGATCCTGATACATTTCCTACACTGCCTTTAGTCTTTGCTGCACTTGGAACCATGCTAATAATTGTGCTCTTGACTTTGATTTGTAAAAGGTAAAATTTAATTATTTTTCATTGTTATGAAGACACAGAAAACAGCTTTCACTTTATATCTTTTTGTCCTAGCGGTTGATAAAACTAGCCGTTTAAAAATTCAAATGCAAATCAGCACTTCATCAGCATAACAGTCAACTAGACCAGGGCTTTTCAACTGGTGGTACACGTACCACTAGTGGTACGTTGGCACCTGGCAGGTGGTACGCATACGATGGGTTGAACAGCACTGTAAAAAAATGTAAAAAAAGTGTAAAAGTAGATGAAGCAGCAGCAGCGCCACACAGGCTTGTGGGAAAGTCAGCTGGAACTGCACGTTGCCTGGGTCCTACTGAGAGCCCAGGATCAAAGCGCGCAGCTCCAGCTGATTCGCGGTGGCCTTGGGGGCGACAGGCAGCCTCATGCAGTCTTCAGGTGGAGATTCAGATGGAGCTGCGCGATGCATTGCCTGGGTCCTGCGGAGAGCCCAGGATTGGCGCGTGCAGCTCCAGCTGATTGGGGGTGGCAGACAGCCTCGCATAGTCTTCAGGCAGAGATTCAGCTGGAGCTGTGAGAGGCATTGCCTGGGTCCTGCTGAAGGGGAGAGATGATATTAAAGGGGGTGGGGGAAGAGATGATATTAAAGGGATGGGGGAAGAGATGATATTAATGGAGGTGAGAGAGGACTATTTGTACTTTATCACTTTTTTCTGTTGTTTTTTTGGTCATCAAGTTTTTGACACCTTGCTAGGTGACTGGTGGTACTTGAATATTGCCATATTCTAAAAGTGATACAATCGGTGAAAAGGTTGAAAAGCCCTGAACTAGAAAAGATGCAGATATTGAGAAAGATGTAAAGAATAGAAGATGATTTTACCTATGCAAACTTTACTAAGTTTGTATCTTTCCTTAATAAAGAAAATTGTTTATGTGACATAACGATAAAAACAGATTGAATACAACAATTGTTACACAATAATTATGTTAAATTTACTTCATAAGAAGAGCAGAACAAAAGATTCTAAAGAAATGGACTTCCTGTTTCCACCAGCAGCGTCATCGGCTGGGAGACTCGGGATGCCGAGCTCTTCAGCTGAGTTTCTTCTTGTTTGGGGACCCTAAATGGGCCAGAAGTCGCCCCGGAGAGGTGGCACTGAAGGAAGGTACTTCCAGGGATCTAGGAGAGACGGTGGTCTCTCCGATCAGTCCAGGAGAAGCCTCCCCGAAACCAACAGAAGAAAGGCTAGCTAACTCTTTGTCTAGCCCTAGCTGCAAGCAAACGGAAGTCAAGAAGCTCTACCTAAACTGATTGTAAACAGTGTGTTTGAAGCTGGGTAAGAACTAATTTTCTCTATCCTACTTATTTTCCTGAAAAAAAAAAAGAACTCCCAAGAAGCAAAAATACCTCCGAGAGTGGAAAAAGGGGAGGGATTCTCCCCCCTTTTTGGCTATTGGAAGCGGCAAATTTAACTCTTTAAGGAGAAAAAGAAAACTGAAAAATGATCCAACACTGACACCTACTGGTGGAACTTTAGTAAATACAGCTGTTTAGAGAAAGTGATATTAATAGAAACAATGGATGTTTTACAAGAGGAAATATACGATATGCTACAATTTATTCAAAGGACAATGATTTTAAACCACAAAGAAATACAAAACAACTTTGAAAGTATAAGTCAACTCATCTCCAACTTAAGTTCACTTCAGAAAAAACCCTCAGGAGAACACAGCAGAGATGTTGGAATATAAATCAGAGGGAAAAGACTTAAAGATGGACCTTTACAAAATCAAAAAGTATGATTTAATTCAAGTGGAAGGAAAGAAACTTATATTTCAACATTACAAAACAAAGTGGAAGAAGAGAGGGACTTTGATGGAAAGTAGAGTGCAAGTGCTCAGGACAGAGATACTGATTCACTTTCTATATCTACAGGAACACTTACGATCGTATGGGAAAACCTTTGGATTCAGCAAAATATATTGATCAAGAAAGATTCCGGGCAAAGAAAAGAGATTAAGAAAAAAGAGGATGGGACATATCAGAGAGAATATTTAAAAAGGAAACATGTGTTTGAATATGGTTAAAGAAATAGAAAAAATTTGAAACAACCATTCTAAGAGGGATGAAATGTTTTAGATACTTAAACATGACTGAATTCAAGAAAAGTACATATATATATAAGTGAATTAGAGTTAAGGGATTAGATGACTAGATTTATTTGAATAGAATGTCTAAAGATTAAATATATTCTTAACGATGATTAAAAAGAATAAGAAATTTGAGAAAATAAATATTATTAATCTAGGAGGGATATATATTCTAAGTACTATGTTATTTTCTCTGTTCTGTTATTACTGCTTTCTTCTATTCTTTTTTATTTTTTTTATAATTTTTTTTTCATTCTTTTTCTTTTCCCCTCTCTTTTTTTACTTTTATATTTAATACTCAAGAAACATAAAAATGTGAGATGGCTTATAAGGAAAAAAATAGAATCAAGTCTGCCAATGTAAATTTAACTAATTACTACCAGTAAAAATACTTAGAACTTGGTGGGAGAAATAAACTAAAATAAGGACTGTAACAGGATTGATGATAAGGCAATCCAAATGAATGGAAAGAAAAGAAATGTATTAATATGATGATTATTTTTTAAGAATATTGGAAAAAATATATACTAAATTGTCATTTATTAAAACAATAAGAATTGTATTAACGCAATGTTTGCAAAAAAGGATGTTTCAGGGAAAGAGGAAAGTAAACAAAATTAATATATGAAATACAAACTATAGAAATTAATTGTTAAGGACTGTTTTTACAAATGTAACCCAGACATCACACTGTTTACCCAACTATTGAATGACCTATGTTTGTGTAAAAAATCAATAAAAAAAAAGATTCTAAAGAAATGGCAAGGTACATTTTTCTGATCACTATGGATATAGCTCTAACAAAAACCTATCTTCTGCATTAGACCAGTTTTTGTAACAGATATTGAATCTTTTGTCTTTTTATTTATTTTTATTTCAGTGATTTCTCTTCTCTGTTCCTTTTTTTTTTTCAGAATAATTTGTCCTCCAGTTGCCTGCTGTAAGAATTCCTCCTAGCTGTTGTCCTCAGATACCATTTTTAAATTAATATACTGCCTGTTTATTCTTTCTTTTCCTTTGGTGCAATTGGTTTGGGTTAATAAAGGTTCAGAAGAAAGCCTTTTCTATTTTAATGGGACAGAATCTATCTGAACCCTATGTTTATTTCTGCATCTAGTTTTGTAAAAGATGGCTCAATACATTTACTGGTTTTTCTAGTGTTTTTTGTTCTGCTCTCAGACCCTGTAGGATTGATACAATTAAATACATAGAATTACTAGTCTATATTTTAAAAGTATGCTGTGTCAACGCTGCTGCACATTTTCAGGCACATATAGCAAGTTATTTCAAGAGAGGAATCTGGGATAATGCTCCAAATCTTTCTTTGTACAGGAACCACATATGGGAAAAACTTACTGATCCAGTCCCCCAACCAAAAGATATAATGTGGCAACATGAAAAGAATGTGCAGGTGGGTTCAAAATATGCTAAATATAATGATCTATAAAGTATTTTATATGTACATGAATAACTCTTTCATACCTACTTTATAATTTTAATGCTAAGTTAATAATTGGTTGTCATTTTTTTATTTGTGCCAATATAAACTAAGAACAGAAATGCACTTCTAGTTATGAACTTTTAGCATCCTAAATGATTCAGGAGCAGATCGAAGGACCAAAATCTATGAAGAATTTCTTTTTCCATTATGAATCTAGCTTAACAGAAAAGTTATTTTGAAGATATACTAGTTCCACAAACTCAGTTATCTAGTAAACAGGAGAGTTTTCCTGCATAGCCCAAGGCCATAGACTTGCTCTCCTCAAGAATGTCTTGTCCTCAATCTCAGTTTTGGCAAATGGCAAAAACTTCAAGAGGGCACACACCCTGTTCTCTCTTCCTACCGGTATTCCCTCCACACAACATCTGTCCTATGAGATAAGTTGTGCTAGCAGTGACTAGCCCAACTTATCCACTGTTTTCATGGCAGATGGTGACTAGAACCTCGGCTTCCACTGTGCCAGTCCAAAGCTTCATCACCACTTCATTGTCCTTGGAAGACTACTTTATATGCAATAAAAAATAAGGGTTTTGATATGTGTATTTGCAATGAGCTGTGATGTAGAAATGAGAATTAAATAATCATGACCTTTAGGAATTAATGCAAGGATATTTTCTTTTCTTAGAAGTGGGTGACCCCAGTACCAATAGGAGGTGAATCAATAACAGTGGTTGAAGAAATGACTGCCATCTCCCCAAAAGTATGAGGCATTGCCCACTACAAAAAAACCTATCCTAATAAAATAGTAAAAGAAAACCTGTGTATATGTGTATGGCTTATCTGCTTCTTTCAAAATATGAATGCATTTGTATGCATTCAGACAGTGGGATTCAAGATAATGACTTGTTACTAGAGGCTGTTAAGCAAGAGCTAGAGCAATTAATTTTCCCAAGGTGTCACATGAGAAACTGGGACTGTGGTGGAGGGCGGAACTAATAGGAATGTAAAGGTGCGTAGGCATGCACAGACACACATACATAAATTGAATTTATAACATTGCCTTCAAAGTAAAAGCATTCCACGTTGTCCAGACAAGGGCAGCCAAAGGGCTGGATGTAGCCCAGGAGCCATCAAATGCCCAGGTGTGGCTAGATTCATCTGTGCATGTACAAAGGGCAGAGTTTACATTCACCAACTTGCTTTTTTTTTTTAATTTTCCCCGTGGATGCCTAGATTTCTTTTATGTGTAAAAACGGGGATAAATCTGTTGTTCATTCCTGTCATATGGATCAGGGTATATACAGTAGTCAACACATAAGAGTATATTGAATGGATTTCTATCATTCTTTGAGTCACAGAGGGTTTCTCCCTTATTATTGTTAGACACCTTCAGACATTTGATTAAAAGGAAAAACACTGAATAATTATTCCCCACTTTTGGAATACTGGGAAGATGAAATGCCTCTTAACAAAAGAAATAAGCTTTTCCTCTACTCTCTAAAAGCCTTGAATTCCAACTTCCAAAGAAACTGTTGTAGAAAAAACAAAAGTTGAATGTGGGAGAATTTGCACAAGCAAATTCTGATAGTACTTTGGACCAAACAATCATTAAGGGAAGGTACAATATATACTCATAGATAAGGCCATTCATGGAT